CATTATACTGCAACAATATGTTGTAATAGTATACAATATACCATAATAGTATGCTATTTTAATGTAATAGTATAATGTTGATGAAGAACATAAAATATCATTTTCATATATTGTATGCTATTTTGGTATACAATATAGAATTCAATAGTATATAGTTTATTACAATAATATACTGTTATAATATACAATATGATGTTATAAATGGGTCATTTTTTAATTTTTTTAAAAAAATTTAACTGGATCCTTTTTAAATATTTTAACAAAGTTAGGTGTTAGATGGAATTCCATGGAGATGTTATTTATTGTATTAGAAGTAAATGATGGAAAAAAATTATTTCTCTCTTCTCGATACTTAACTTTTGTGGGCAGCCTACGATTTCACCTCTTGTTGGCTTTCTCAGGTTCTCGCTTCCCTCCTCCTTATGTAATGTGTCAAGAATAATTATGGGCACAATTTAATCTCACGGTTTAACAGTAGCCTCTTATGACTTTCCATTTAACTTTATGAAAGCATAGCCACAATCACGATTCCCCTATCTCCTTTTACTAATAATATTACCCACAAAAACTGCAATGGGTAAAAAGGGTAATTAGTTTGGTGGGTAGAAAAACTAATAGGTAGGTAAGGATAATTAGTTTAGTTTTTGTGGGTAGAGCTATAAAACTCCCCTTTTCATTAGTTACCTATAAATTTTCTTTTCAAAATTTTAACTCTTCATTTATAATTCTATAATTGAGAATGACTTATGAAAAAAAAAAGTTTCTCCTCTACTGGTGTAACTCTTTATATAATAAATGATTTATCAATTTCTTATATATATATATATATATATATATATATATATATATATATATATATACTCAATAATGTTTTATCAATCGAAATTTTTAGGCCCTTATAGTAAATTAAGTGATTGTGATATCCTAGGAACATTTGTCGCGCCTATATTCAGTCACCTCCACCTGCACTACAATCCTGAAAAGTATTTGGTTATGGTATCATGGAGACAATGAACTAGCTGGATAGTGATTTGGTAGACCCATGTAATTAGCTTTATTGCTATATACAGTTGTTGGTTGGTATTTGATAAAAAGAATACCTAGTACTTAAAATGTTTAGGTAGCACGTTAACAATTGATCGAAGTTCTTGTTCTAAGCAAGTTCCTTTTTTATTTTATTTTTATTTTAGTCATCTTTTTTTCTTTTTCTATTTGATTAGTGAGTTACCATTTCAAAACCACAATGAGATGTGTTTTGGAAAATGAAAGTTAAAGTTCTTATAATGTATGGTCTAGTACAACATATAGAATACTTTTTGTTAAAATATTTTAAGTTATACTAGTTTTATGGTACGCGCGTTACGCGTATATCCTATATATATATATATATATATATATATATATATATATATATATATATATATATATATATATATATATATATATATAATTTTCAAAAGTCACTTAAATAAAAATGTGCTTGAGTTATAAATAAAAATTAAATAAAAAATATATGTTCAGAAAATGATGAATGTTGATTTTTACCCATAATTCTTATTTTACGTTTGTGACATTCAGTTTAATTTTTCTCTACATCATAATGTCATGTGTATTATGCATATGTTAAGTTCATTTTGAAGTTCAGAGACAAAATTTTGAAAGAAAATTCATATAATGGTGACATTTTAAGAATAACTTCATGCATTTTTTCGTATTATGATTGTTATTGCCCTTTTTAAAATATATTTTTATAGACTTTTTCCCAAAAAGTTTGCTCTTAAAATAATAAAAATTATTAAATGTAACCAAAATCCAAATTAAAGACAAAACTGCTATAGTTTCCTCTAAAATTCTTGTGTTCCTAGGAAAATAAAATATACGACAGACAAGGAGCTTCATAATTTAGAAAAGATATGAATTAGAGTTTTTAGCTAACTAATTAATTCAAAGATTTAATAATTTATTGTCAACATTAAAGGAAATAATTTATTTCCTTGTTGATTTAAATTATTTAATATTGTTCATTCCTAAATTTAAATGTAATATAATTTTATCTACTAAAAATTCTATTCCTATAACCTGTAGGTAGAAGAATCGATTTGATAATTCACCCTTGGATCTTTGTGTTTGCATAATCATTATTGACTCTTGCCGACCACCTTTTCTTTCTCTCTCCCTCTCCCTCTCACTTTTATATCCTTAAATATCGTTTTAGTTATTTGTTCTAATTTTCAGTGTTATTTCAAATATAATACAAACACTAATGAATGAAAAATATTATTTGAGTAGGAAAGTAGTTTAAATATAAAGTAAAAATATATTAAAGTTCATTATATAGTTTACGAAGATAACATGGAAGGAACTTCTGTTATGATATATTGTTCAAATAAGAAAATAATTCATATTATGTTTAAGTTATAAATTTTAAACTCATCATTATTAAGATTTCCTGCATAGTTTAAATAAGAAAAAATTTAATAAACAAAAGGGATAATTCTAGAGACTTCCATGTTTGAGTTTATAATACTAATATCCTCTATGATTACGATGATACATTTACCTCCTTTATTATAATATTTTTGAATAACAATGCATTTAATCCATCTATTATAATATAAGAAAGTTCGTTTAACTAAGTTGCCCATACTAATTTACTCATTTTCTTTGTTCATTTGTAAATATAAACATTTTTTATCATTTTTCGTTTTAGTTATATTAACTATCAATAATGAAGTAAAAATAAAAAACTAAAAAGGAGTTAAAAACGCAACCCCAAAGGAGTGAAAAAACGCAAATCCTTTTCTTATGTACTTCTTTCCCTTTTCACTTCCTTTTCTTTATTTTTTTTATTCTGAAATTAATATTTTATTAGAAAAAATAAACATGGAAGGTTTTGTTACCTTCCTAGGGAAGTGTTTATATAAAGGAAAAATCCAATCGATTTCAAAATAGGACTTTCTATATATTGAGATAAGGAATAGATTTTAAAACCAATTTTTTAGTTGACTTAGAACTCCTAAAAATAAGGAAAAAGAATTAAAATTATAATTTTGTCCAACATAAAATCTACTTTTAGAGGATAAAAAAGGCGAACGACATTTCGCTAATGGCCTTCGTGCTTTTAATATAAACTAGTCTCTATATACGTGCCTGGCACGTAAATCCCTAGGACTGAGAAGATAAAGATGGAAAAATAAAAAGCAATGTAAGAGATCAATAGATATTGGACATCTACAATAATAAATGCGACTAATTCTTGTAAAAAAAAAGAAAGAACTGATTTCGTGCAGCTTATGATGTTATGTTGTTGACGAGTGCGGGATCTGAATAATAATTTAATTAATACTAAAGTTTTATTGTTTTTATCATAATTAGTCTTTAGTTATTACACGGATGAACAAAAAGAACGGCCAATATATAATTCGAACTTTCTTAAAATTTAGAAAAAAGAATTCAAGAGTTAATATTTCTATTATCTAAATTCTTGCTATCTCTCAATCAACCTACATCACAGCTTACGATGTGCTTAGAACGGTAATCGTAATAAAAAATTTCATTTATGTATTAAATATGTATTTATTCAATTGAAATTAAAACTGAAAGTAGAAGTCTATATTCTATATGGGTTCATTTAGGTGGTATTTGAGGGTGGTATTATTATTCAAATTTTACGTCAAAATAAGGTACGCATTCGAGTTCTATTCAAATTAGGTCTGTTATATAAAAGGGTTTCCATATTAGACATGGAAGTCATATACAAGCTCTAATATAACCATCCTAATTGGTAAAACTCCGAAGTTGGCGTAGTTTCTGTTTTTACTTTACTTTGTTCCTTTGCTCTTTAATTTACTTTTTTTTATTCGGATTGTTAAAAATCCTCTCCATCAAATTTTGGGTTCCACAACTAACTTGATCTCCAAGTAGGACGAAAGAAACATTGTTTAGGAAAGACTTAATGAGAAAGATTTTATTTGATATCAAACTTTTAAATATTAAGAAAATAAATTAAATGACTATTTTGTCCAGTGTATACTCTATTTTAAAAGAATAAAAAAGGCAAAAAATTGGATAACACATACACGTAAAGAATATGAAACTAAACTATAACACTATATCAACTGCCTCAAAAATATAATCTACATAAAATACTAACCAACACATGCATGGCAGAGGCAGAGCAAGACTTGAACCTTATGGGTTCGGGATTGTAATACTTTTAAATTACTGGGTTCTAAATTAATAAGTGGTATGTATTCAATAGATTTCATAAGACAAACATATATTTTGAACAAAAGCTACTGGGTTCGGCCGAACTCGCGTCCCGCACTCTGCCTCCACCCCAAATGCATGGATAACCATTACTAAAGAATATAGAGTGTTGAGCTAAAACGCCTTGAAGAGTTACTTCAATATTAGAAAACCAACTTTGTAGGCTTGGTAGGCTAGATGTCCAGAAGAATTTGATCCAAAATCAACTTTGTAGGCTTGTCGTATGTGTAGTTTAAATCGATAAGAGTTCCAGTCTTAGGTGATTTACAATTATATCCTTAAATAATATAAATATTTAAGGGTATAAAAATCGATCAATGTTTGAAGGATATTTTAGTCGTTCAATATTTAACATAAATTATTCGTGCTTTTATAATAATAATAATATAATATATAT